AAACTTCCATCACTTGCATATCGATTTCTGTATAATATAAAGCAACTTTGCCCTTTTATATTCTCTTGATATGTAGACAGAAATGTCACACTGACAGCTTAATTTGTCATCTAAGTTGAGCTGGTGCACATGTGTGTTTTAATGAAATTGTTTGTTTTACACCGATTTGAAACACTTTTTCATATTTCAACTAAACAAATTTCCTGGATAGTTATCTGGTAACTATCAATTTCTCAGCCAAACAATATAATTCATGAAAAAATAATGATCTTTAATGGGAACAAGTTGTTGTTATTCTTATTTCTGGTTCTCATACGCCAATTTTAACACATTTATAGTCTGGTTGAGTATTTGTGTAGAAAATTATTTAAATGATGATAGTTCGGAATTAGTGCTGATATTTGAAAGCAGATATATGGCATATAGAATAACAGTTTGTATAATTACCATTTCGTCATTTAAGTTAAGTCATGCTTTGTTTTATTTTTCAATATCTATATGATTTGCAACTCGCATGACATTTTATGTTTAACATCTAACTTCAAAATGGCAATTAGAAACCATTACCTTTTAACACCAAAAAGTTAATTTTTTTCTTTTCAAATTTAACACATACATGTACATCTAGCACTTCATCCAATACAAAATCAGTTTAGCACTTGAAACCTAAGTAAGGAAATTGACAGCATCATCTGTACTTATCAATAAATGAAATATACTTGTATAACCGAGTTTCATGACATAAAAACCAATATTATATAACATAGATATGACATCTTTGCCACACTTTTAGACATTGATGACATATATAAATTAGCAATTAATTACACATAAAGTTTAAATTCCATCATATTACATTTTTACCATCAATTCAAGGCTAAGTTTGTCGTAATAGTATCAGTGATTACATTACAAGAATAAGATACTATGCCTTAGTTAAAATACCCCTATTGACTTTCTATGAATATAAAAAACATATTCAACTCACTACAGTGTTAGATCAGTACCTCTAGGCGCTTGCAGAAATCATGATCATAAAGTAGAAAAATGTCAACCCTTACATTTTTCATTCATGATCAGATATAAATCTGTGTGAAAAGATAAATGATGTTAAGATTTGGTGTGCAATGCGGCAGGTTGAAAAGTAAAAATTTTAGCATTTAATCATTCAAGCGCCTTGTCCGGTATTTACCGGAATACTGTAATTAGTGTGGCGCTCCAACACTTTTTTAGTTTCACTGGAAAAACCACCTACTTAGTAACCATATCTAGTACAACAGTTGATATATTTGAAACTTGAAACTGGTGATACCTAGGTGAAGGACTAGAGAGTAGACTGTAAACTTTGTGCTACATAAATGAAATCGAAGATGAAACACACTTGATAAATTACAATTTGTAAGAAAATGCTTAATTGAAAGCAATATTTATAACAAGAGGGCCATGATGGCCCTGAGGTTGCTCACCTGTATATAGGCCCCCCTAACCCCCACCCCCAATGTTGCAGGGCCAATTTAACCCAAGGGCTTTTATTTGCACAAACTTGGTAGACACCCATAAGAAGATGTTTCATGCTAAACATCTAAGCTCTAGTTCATTGGGCTTTTTAAAAGAAGATTTTTTTTAAGTTTTTACTATACACATATAGTTAAAAACAATGACACCCCTGGGGCCCGGGCCCGGGCTTTTATCTGAACAAACTTTGTAGACACTTACTAGAAGATGTTTCATGCTTAATATCTAAACTCTAGCTATTTGGGTTTTTTCAAAGAAGATTTTTTAAGTTTTTGCTATACACATATAAAGAAAATCAATGACCCCCGGGGCGGGGCCAATTTTGCCCCCAGGGCTTTTATTTGAACAAACTTTGTAGACACTCACTTAAAGATGTTTCATGCTTAATATCTTAACTCTAGCTATTTGGGTTTTTTCAAAGATTTTTTAAGTTTTTGCTATACACATATAAGGAAAATCAATGACCCCCCGGGGCGGGGCCAATTTTGACCCCAGGGCTTTTATTTGAACAAACTTGGTAGACACCTATTAGAACATGTTTGATGCTCAATATCTTAGCCATAGCTCTTTGAGTTCTTTAAAAGAAGATTTTTTAAAGTTTTTACTATATGCATATAGGGAAAATCAATGACCCCCCGGGGCGGGGCCAATTTTGACCCCAGGGCTTTTATTTGAACAAACTTGGTAAACACCCATTAGAACATGTTTCATGCTAAATATCTTAGCTCTAGCTCTTTGAGTTCTTTAAAAGAAGATTTTTTAAGTTTTTACTAAATGCATATAGGGAAAATCAATGACCCCCCGGGGCGGGGCCAATTTTGACCCTGGGGCTTTTATCTGAACAAACTTGGTAGACACTTATTAGAACATGTTTCATGCTAAATATCTTAGCTCTAACTCTTTTGGTTCTTTAAAAGAAGATTTTTTAAGTTTTTACTATATGCATATAGGGAAAATCAATGACCCCCTGGGGCGGGGCCAATTTTGACCCCAGGGCTTTTATTTGAACAAACTTGGTAGACACCTATTAGAACATGTTTGATGCTCAATATCTTAGCCATAGCTCTTTGAGTTCTTTAAAAGAAGATTTTTTAAAGCTTTTACTATATGCATATAGGGAAAATCAATGACCCCCCGGGGCGGGGCCAATTTTGACCCAAGGGCTTTTATTTGAACAAACTTGGTAGACACCCATTAGAACATGTTTCATGCTAAATATCTTAGCTCTAGCTCTTTGAGTTCTTTAAAAGAAGATTTTTTAAGTTTTTACTATATGCATATAGGGAAAATCAATGACCCCCCGGGGCGGGGCCAATTTTGACCCCAGGGCTTTAATTGAACAAACTTGGTAAACTCTTATTAGAACATGTTTCATGCTAAATATCTTAGCTCTAACTCTTTTGGTTCTTTAAAAGATGATTTTTTAAGTTTTTACTATATGCATATAGGGAAAATCAATGACCCCCTGAGGCGGGGCCAATTTTGACCCCAGGGCTTTTATTTGAACAAACTTGGTAGACACCCTTTAGAACATGTTTGATGCTCAATATCTTAGCCATAGCTCTTTGAGTTCTTTAAAAGAAGATTTTTTAAGTTTTTACTATATGCATATAGGGAAAATCAATGACCCCCCGGGGCGGGGCCAATTTTGACCCCAGGGATTTTATTTGAACAAACTTGGTAGACACCCATTAGAACATGTTTCATGCTAAATATCTTAGCTCTAGCTCTTTGGGTTCTTTAAAAGAAGATTTTTTAAGTTTTTACTATATGCATATAGGGAAAATCAATGACACCCCGGGGCGGGGCCAATTTTGACCCCAGGTCTTTTATTTGAACAAACTTGGTAGACACTCACTAGAAGATGTTTCATGCCAAATATCTAAGCTCTAGCTCTTATGGTTTTTTAAAAGAAGATATTTAAAGTTTTTTCTTTCGGTTGCCATGTCAACCAGAGTTCTGCATTGAATTAAATTCTTTGAACAATTTTTAAAGGTGACCACCAAAGGAACATTCCTGTGAAGTTTGGATGAAATTGGCATAGTGGTTTATGAGGAGATGTCATTTAAAGTAAAAGTTTACGGACGGACGACGGACGGCGGACGGACGGCGGACGGACGGAGGACAGACGGACGGACGCCGGACGAAAAGCGATCACAAAAGCTCACCCTGTCACTTTGTGACAGGTGAGCTAAAAATACTTAACTAATTGCAATTTTGAATGCAATTTGTATGATAAAATACTTAATTGGTTGCAATTTGTATGACAAAATAATTAATTGGTTTCAATTTGTATGATAAAAATACTTAATTGATTGTCATAAGTATACAAATATAGATCAACTGTCCAAAGTTGAATTTATGCATAAGTCCAGCAATTAATAACAAAAAAAACATTAAATTTAATAGAATCCTTCCCACACAAAGTAGTGAAATATCTTGTTTTTGGTCTATTGTAAAAGAAGAAAATGTATAATAATATGTATAAAATAATTAATTTTTTTGTTGATGCTGAAAATTAAATCATTCAATCAATGATCTCTTAGGTAATCAATATCCAAGCCATATAAATATAGTATGAATATAATGTATGTTCTATAATGTATGTTCTGGTAAATATTAAATGAAACAAGAACAGCATCTTACTGTCATTTCCACTTTGAATCACTGTGTATATTGTTATATAATTTATAAAACATGTGACACATATAAAAGGTCCACTGTGCTTAATCGGGTTTACACAGGATTTTGGGAACATGACCCATAAACATGGAATTGGAAATTTCAGTGATGCTTTGTTAAAATTGGGAAAAATGCATAACTTAAATTTTGCAATGGTTATAATTATTATGTATACAAAAGATCACTGTCTAGGATGGCATCTTTAAACATTTAAGCACCATAACAGTGAAGAAGCCCTTATTTTCAAAGATGTTAGAATTTGTTATTCAATTATTTTTATTTTGTGGCTTTCAATTGGGAATTTTTTTCTGTGGAATGGGAGTATTACCGAACATCGGTTATAAAATAAGCCAAAAAATCTCTGTTGAGGACAAATGCTTGAGGACAGTTCACACTTTATTATTGTTATTATTATCATTCAGTGTATATACTAGTTAACAAAGCCCTTTCTTATTTACTTACTTAACAATAAGTTATATACTTACACTATCTAGGTTTACTTTCATCTACCTTAGTACTTCCAGACTTACTAACTTACTTATTTACTTACTAACTTACTTATTTACTTACTTACTTCACTTAATAACTTACTTAATTGGGACAAAAGAATTGCATTACAAAATCGATGAGTCATCACAAATGCTTTTTTAACAAAGACAATGTTTCCATTTGTGTTGTCATCCACCACGATGTATATTTTCATTTAAGCATGATTTTATCGGCAAAAGAATTATACATGGCAATACAGATATAATATAAAATATATTCAATCTCCACCACCAATACATCACACTAGCACTTACCTCTAAAAGGAACGGCAACACTGGTATGAAAGTTTTCGTCGATCTTGAAATTAGTGACAATGCTTTAACACAGTGAAATCTTAGCGGATAGTAACGCGCAGTTGGTATAAGTCTGAAAAAATACACTACCTTTTGTACAAATAATAAAACATTTTCTTATAAATTGCTGTACATGAACAGAAAATTACAGTAAAACTGTACTCAAATGCTGGGCGTGATGCTGGATGTCAACACTCCGGTCAAGGAAAAACATTTGCAATACAAGCTGAAGATGTTTTTTTAATTAAAAAAACTTTAAAAAAAATGTATTTGCTCATTTACCCTAGTCTATTGGCTTCATTTTGTTTTCTTTGATGCAAAAATAAAAAACAACCAGCAAGTTTATATATCCTAGCCCTACCACCAACCTCATGTAATCTACCTGATTACCGTGAATTGTTAATATTTGCTTTTTCACTCTTATACCAGATTTAGATTTATGAATTTACACAACTTACAAACAGTTGAATGGATTTTAGTATAAATATACAAAACCACCAGTAATACAGCCAGGTCAGACTGCCTAGTTGTGCAGACCGGTCTGGACCTATAAAGGTAGCCAAAGGGTGGTCATTTCCTGCAGTTTACTTTGGGTCGCAATTATCATTATGGTTAAGACTTCAATTCATGACAGGTGCTAGTAAAAAATTTAAACAAAACGCTTGTACTGAGTAATGAACTAAAGTGCTTAAAACTTCAAAAGTTAACTAGATGTTATAGCAGACTTTACACCTTTTCAAGAGAAACAGTGGGGTGACAGTGATTACTATTTCCATCACTGCTGAGAGCAAAACTTACTTTATGGTTCCAGTTATGGTTTGTACTAGAGGGTAAATCAGTGGTTCTAGAACTTCATTGGGATATGTTGCACTTAATACCCGGCTCCACAGTTCTATACAGTGAATAAACTGCCAGTTATACACAGCCTGGCATGACTCCTGTAATAAAACACAAAAATATGATGTAACTCAAACTCAAAGCAACAGTTTTTTAGGAACAAGAGCGATCAGTGATCACATGTGTCGCCTCATAATGGCCAATTTCATGTTGGGACAAGTTTTGTGACAGACAGACAAACAGACGGACAGTGCACAACTAGACTTGGTACTGATCATTCCTGTAAAGTTTGGATGAAATTGCACCAGTAGTTTATGAGGAGTAGTGGGGACAAGCTTTTGTGTATCTGGCAACACACAGAAAAAAACACCTTTTTATCAAAGGGCCATAACTCCGAAAAAAATCATTCAACCGGAAAACCCGTCCAATATGCGCAAGGACTTGAGCTACAGATCAATCCTGTAAAGTTTCATTGAAATTGCATTAGTGGTATAAGAGAAGTAGTCCGGACAAACTTTAAAAATAAAAATTAATTAAAGGGGCCATAACTCTGACAAAAAATCATTAACCGGAAAATTCTGAAATATGCACAACTAGACTTGGTACTGATCATTCCTGTAAAGTTTGGATGAAATTGCACTAGTAGTTTATGAGGAGTAGTCCGGACAAGCTTTTGTGTATCTGGCAACACACACAGAAAAAACACACTTTTTTATCAAAGGGCCATAACTCGGCCAAAAATCATTCAACTGGAAAACCCGTGCAATATGCGCAAGGACTTGAGCTACAGATCAATCCTGTAAAGTTTCATTGAAATTGCATTAGTGGTATAAGAGAAGTAGTCCGGACAACTTTAAAAATAAAAATTATTAAAGGGCCATAACTCTGACAAAAATCATTAATCGGAAAATTCTGACAATATGCACACTAGAACTTGGTACTGATCATTCCTGTAAAGTTTGGATGAAATTGCACCAGTAGTTTATGAGGAGTAGTCCGGACAAGCTTTTGTGTATCTGGCAACACACAGAACAAGAGCGATCAGTAATCACATGTGTCGCCTCATGATGGCTAATTTCATGTTGGGACAAATTTTGTGACAGACGGACAGACAGACGGACAGTGCACAACTAGACTTGGTATTGATCATTCCTGTAAAATTTGGATGAAATTGCACCAGTAGTTTATGAGGAGTAGTCCGGACAAGCTTTTGCGTATCTGGCAACACACAGAAAAAAACACCTTTTTATCAAAGGGCCATAACTCGGCCAAAAATCATTCAACCGGAAAACCCGTGCAATATGCGCAAGGACTTGAGCTACAGATCAATCCTGTAAAGTTTCATTGAAATTGCATTAGTGGTAAAGAGAAGTAGTCCGGACAAACTTTAAAAATAAAAATTATTAAAGGGCCATAACTCAAACAAAAATCATCGAACCGAAAAATGCTGACAATATGCACAAGAAGACTTGGTACTGATCATTCCTGTAAAGTTTGGATGAAATTGCACCAGTAGTTTATGAGAAGTAGTCCGGACAAGCTTTTGTGTATCTGGCAACACACAGAAAAAGAAACCTTTTTATCAAAAGGGCCATAACTCGGCCAAAATCATTCAACCGGAAAACCCGTGCAATATGCGCAAGGACTTGAGCTACAGATCAATCCTGTAAAGTTTCATTGAAATTGCATTAGTGGTATAAGAGAAGTAGTCCGGACAAACTTTAAAAATAAAAATTATTAAAGGGCCATAACTCTGACAAAAATCATTGAACCGGAAAAATGCTGACAATATGCACAACTAGACTTGGTACTGATCATTCCTGTAAAGTTTGGATGAAATTGCACCAGTAGTTTATGAGGAGTAGTCCGGACAAGTTTTGTGATGGACGGACGGACAGACAGACAGACAGACAGACAGACAGACGGACAGACAGACGACGGAGAAGTGATCCCTATATGTCGCCACTACTCCGTAGAGGCGACACAAAAAAACACCTTTTTTATCAAAGGGCCATAACTCGGCCAAAAATCATTCAACTGGAAAACCAATGCAATATGCACAAGGACTTGACCTACAGATCAATCCTGTAAAGTTTCATTGAAATTGCATTAGTGGTATAAGAGAAGTAGTCCGGACAAACTTTAAAAATAAAAATTATTAAAGGGCCATAACTCTGACAAAAATCATTGAACCGGAAAATGCTGACAATATGCACAACTAGACCTGGTACTGATCATTCCTGTAAAGTTTGGATGAAATTGCACCAGTAGTTTATGAGGAGTAGTCCGGACAAGTTTTGTGACGGACAGACAGACAGACACACGGACAGACAGACGATGGAGAAGTGATCCCTATATGTCGCCACTACTCCGTAGAGGCGACGCAAAAATGGTGGTGTTTGTAGTTTTCACTACGGTTCACAGCAGTAGTCCCACTGAATTTACCAGAGCACAGTTCAGCTACTGCATTGTTCCTGTGCAGGTTGTCAAGCAGTTTACCAGTACTAGTTGCTTTCACTTTCACAAGGAACTGATTACTTCTGCACATACCAAATCAGATGTACAGCGCGAATAACCTTAGAAAGGATTTCATGATCAATCACAACAAAAATGACCTTCACCTTCCAAGAATCCAACACAGGTTGCTTGATTCACAGTCAAACGCTCTAGCTATTGAGCTAACCGGACAGCTTTTAGAGAAAAGAATTTCCAAGTCTTCTTTATATACATATAGGGAATATGGATTATGCGCTCATTCTACACCACCCACACTCTAAGTGGTCAAGATCAGGTTCATGGCAACAGATCCACTTCTTTTCCTTTGAAAAATGTACCTAAGAATTGGCTGCATCATGTACTTATTACAACACCATTATATTTCTTAGGTAATTCTTTAAAATAATTATCGATTCCATTGAAGAAATCAATGCCTACCTTTTTCTTTGTTGTAATGGCATTTCGTAGATGTATAGCAAGCTGTCTGATGTAAATAAATGCATACTGGTAGGCCAGGCTGAAATCTAATGCTAAGATTTCAACGTACGATCGCTGCATGAAGTTGATCATAGGTAGCATGTTTGGTGACGTAAATTTACAGTTTCTCACATATGCCATGTACATTTGCTGAAGTGTATGTATATAAATTACATGTATAATTGGCTATTAGAAGATATTTTCGTGAAGGGCAGAACCATACTTTGTGTACATTTAAATGATAACAAATTTAATTTATAATTTGTGTGGCATTTATTCCTGTGGTTTTCCTGGATAGGTCAATTCATGAATTTAATATAAATAGTATGTAGTTGCCTAGTAATTATATCCAATAAATTTCTTGTAAATAACATAGTGATTTTTCTGTTAAAACATGACTTATTTAAAGTTTATTTCAGAAAAAATTTGTAATTTTGTTGAATCTCTCTCAAGTCTGCCTTCTTGAACTAACCAGCACTGATACCATTTCGGAAAGATGGTCATTTCTACCAAAAGAAGCTCAAACCTATGTTCTCTGGTCCTGGTGGAACTTTACCACTAAACAAGCTTTATCCTTACTAATAAATAACAATAATCTGACCTTCATGCCTTCTAAATATTATAAGACACCAATAGTTTATATATTTTTTGCAAAGGAAGGGAGAGAAATCATTGTTGTATTTCTTTCATAAGTGCATCAGAGTTTCTTCCCTTCACATTATCTGACCGTTTTATTTTAATACGGAAATCCTTCAAACTCGAGATCCAAAGCAATTCGAAAGCTTTATAAAGTACAGACAGGTAATAAGCTGTCTCTGATAAACTGTGAGATATCACAATGGATGATTTATTGTGAGATACAAGTCTATATCTAACTGAAAAGAATTTGGGTGTTTTTCCTTTTTCACAAGCAGTAAATTTCTAAAATACGTTAATTGTGTTTTTCGAGTATATTATTCTGGGTTGATTAAACGAAAATATATAAGATTGTAAAGGCGTAAAGATACATTAGAAAGGCCTAGAACTGCTTGAAATGTCTCCTCTGCTCTGAATTTCAGATAGTTGCCGCCATTCTCCTGTACAAAAATAAATCAACTTTTTTATGGAGAGGCTGTTTGGAATTGCATATAATACAGATTTATGAAGAGTTGTTCAGAGTGAAAACATTTACACAGTGTTATGTACTGTGTTAGTTATTGCTGCACTAATTGTTTGAATAGCTTATATTGTCGAGTCTAGTAATTTCGCGTTCACATCCATTTCCTTTCCCTAATTCATGGATTTATGATACAATTACAGTTTAGATATATAAAGATTTTTTTTCCTGGTATGTGACTACTAATGACAAATGTTAAAATAAGGAGTTAACAATATGAGTACACTTTGCCACCAAACTAGGCATCTTAATTGTTTGTCGGGCATTATATTCTATAAATAAAATAATGTAGTATTAATATTTTTAATTAAAGGAAATAGTATTAATTAAAATTTTGAGTGCACTGTTGTAGAATAATGCAATCGGTTTTAGAGATCAAATGAACAGAGATATAATACATGAAGGCATATAAAAGATTAATTAGCAAAGCTGATTTGAGGGATAAACCGTTCATTAACTATATATTATAGTACAACTAGCAACTATTAGACCATTCTGAGACATGCAAAATAAAACTAGAATATGTTGTCATTCCATGGCCGACGGATGCCCGCCCGCATGCGGAGCCAAAATTTCTCAGATGTTATAATATTTTAGTTCCAAATTTGTTTGCACAAATTATTGTTTTCATTTTAAGTTCAAAGCCCTTTAAACTTTTCAGTGTTAACACAAACCATTTTCATACAATATTCAAGGCACTGAAATTATTCAGTCTTTAACCTTTTGAAATAGCATATTTCATATTTGTAGCCAAATAATGGCTATACATACATTTCCACAAAAGTATGAGTGCTGAAACAAAAAGTTCAAAAAATTTCCAATATTCAAGAAAGATAAGGTTGTCCAAAATCATTAAACACCATGACCAAATTCAAACTTAAACTGCTTATTCCTAAGACGTATCTATATTATTTTCAAAGTGAAAGGGACATAAACTCTGCCCAAAAAATCATCGAACCATGACCAAATTCCAACTTGACCTGCCCATTCCTTTGACATATCCATATGTCAAATTTGAGTTGAATATGTAACACTGTTGGGTAGATAATGAACAGAAACTGTAAATTTCATATCATTTTCAAAGTGAAAGGGGCATTACTCTGCCAAAAATCATTGAACCGTGACCAAATTCAAAATTGGCCTGAGCATTCCAGAAACATATCCATATGTCAAATTTGAGTTGAATGTGTTGTACTGTTGGGGAGATAATGAACGGAAACTGAAAATTTCATATTATTTACAAAGAAAAAGGGGCATAACTCTGCCAAAAATCATCGAACCATGACCAAATTCGAACTTTACCTGTATTTTCTCATGACATATCCATATGTCAAATTTGAGTTGAATGTGTTGTACCGTTTGGGAGATAATGAACAGAAACTGAAAATTTCACATTATTTTCAAAGTAAAAGGGGCATAACTCTGCCAAAAATCATCGAACCATGACCAAATTCGAACTTGACCTGTATTTTCTCATGACATATCCATATGTCAAATTTGAGTTGAATGTGTTGTACCGTTGGGGAGATAATGAACAGAAACTGAAAATTTTCATATTATTTTCAAGTAAAGGGGGCATAAACTCTGCCAAAAATCATCGAACCATGACCAAATTCGAACTTGACCTGTATTTTCTCATGACATATCCATATGTCAAATTTGAGTTGAATGTGTTGTACCGTTGGGGAGATAATGAACAGAAACTGAAAATTTCATATTATTTTCAAAGTAAAGGGGGCATAACTCTGCCAAAAATCATCGAACCATGACCAAATTCGAATCTTGACCTGTATTTTCTCATGACATATCCATATGTCAAATTTGAGTTGAATGTGTTGTACCGTTGGGGAGATAATGAACGGAAACTGAAAATTTCATATTATTTTCAAAGTAAAAGGGGCATAACTCTGCCAAAAATCATCGAACCATGACCAAATTCGAACTTGACCTGTATTTTCTCATGATATATCCATATGTCAAATTTGAGTTGAATGTGTTGTACCGTTTGGGAGATAATGAACGGAAACTGAAAATTTCATATTTATTTTCAAAGTAAAGGGGCATAACTCTGCCAAAAATCATCGAACCATGACCAAATTCGAACTTGACCTGTATTTTCTCATGACATATCCATATGTCAAATTTAAGTTGAATGTGTTGTACCGTTGGGGAGATAATGAACGGAAACTGATGATGACGGAATGACAGAATGACGGAATGACGGAAGGACGGAAGGACGGAATGACGGAAGGACGGAATGACGGAAGGACGGAAGGACGGAAGGACGGAACAGGGTAACACTATATGCCCCGGCCATTACATGGCGGGGGCATAAAAAAAGAGATTTAATAAAAATATGCTGAACTACATTGAGCGTAGAAGAAAATTTCCTGATGCTATTTGTTTTAATGACGTCATATTTGATGTCATATGGCTGTAAGCTTTCGTTTTTTTTGCTGTGCATATATCATGTAATAATGCACTTGACAGCACTATCTAATTGATAAGGAGATAGTGTGAAGTGTGTTAGTATGTATAATATACATCACAATTTTACATAGGATATACAAAAGTATGGGCCAAAAGTTTTAACCTTCTCTGAACAGGGTATTACACACTAGTAATAAATTAAAATATATACATGAACTATCAATACGTACCTTTAACACAGCTTTTGTGAGTTTTGGAAAGGTAGCATAATATGCCACGAGTTTATGTACATGTTTCAGCAGAACGTTCACCATGTTGGCTTCAGACAAATCTGTCAATAGCTGAAAATAAATTTAAACATTTCAAAAACACACATAAGAATCAGCCCATTGATTTTTCTTCATCAAAAAACGGCCAACATCTTTGAAAACATATTTTAACAAATAATCAACAAGTTATCTTTATTTGAGATAACCTGTACAAGATTTTTTTTGCGTTTGGGTTTTACCTTGCGCCAACACTGTAAAGGTCATATGGCCACTTTCTAGCCTCACTGGTGAACGAAGACCTCAGGTACCCCTTCGGGCATTATTTCAGGCACAAACAGACACCTGAGTAGAACCACTGACGTTCCTTAAGGAAGCTGGATAGCTTCCTCACATGAAATAAATGCAATTCCCTGTTCAGGATAAACATTTATAGCAGAATAGCAGCGGGCAAGTATTGTTGAAGTCTAGTGCAAGACCATAACTGATATTTGAGACTCATAGCGAATTCCTTGTAAATACAACTGTTTTGCAAAGTCAGTGACCACTTGGCTATGGACATTCCTGGTAAATAAAATCAATGATAAATGGACATACCTTCAACACATCAGCTAAGTATGATTTGACATCAAGTCTAACTTTCTTCCATCTCTTGTTTTTACTATTAGGCAGTACTGGTTTCTGCAGGTCAGTGGTCTTTGGTAGGTCCAGGAAGGACTGAAGAGCCCCTGGTATCTCTACCAGGCACATCCTTACCACTGCATTATACACTGTTACAAATAAAGGAAAACATTTATTTGGCAATTTGTATATACATGTTGTATGTTGACCGCAAAACTGTTGCAAGTCCTTCTTTCTTTCATATCAGTTACTACAGTTTTGGGGTTAACCCTCATTGTACTATTTCATTAGTACCACCATTCCTTTTTTAGGCTGCCTTGTTTCATTTTAAGTGTAAACTCATTTAACTTCACTCATACAACTGAGGGTATTTTCTAACAATTATTCCATGATCATTACTGTACCAGTATCATAACATTCATTTTTACTTCTTCAAGTGACAAACACCATTGTATGTATTTAACTATTCCCTTCAACCAAATTGTCATGTTAAACCTAACTTATTTGCATTACATTAGTATCTCAAAAAAACTTGCATAAAAAGCCACATTTTAAGGTATGTCAAAATAACTGACTGTCAGCATGAGAAAAGAACCCTTTACTTTATTAGTTTATTTTTTAGATTTACATACTGAATTCTTAAACATTTTTTATTCAAGGTAATATATACATGTTAATTATTTACAATTTAAGCAGAAAGGAATTTGACCGAGAGCTACAATAGCTCATGGTAGTCCTCTCCTTTAAATACATTCAATTCAATAGCTCAAGAAATGAATGAAAAGTTCTGAAATTTGCTGATTGTTAATTATTCACAATTTATCTTGAACATTTCAAAGGTAAATCACATTTCAATGAAAGTTAAGGTTAATTTTTTCATGCTGAGGTTCAATTATTATATTTCTTTATTCATTCTTAACGTCAGTTTACATCTAAATAACCTGTCAAATTCCTTCATCACAGAAACAACAATAAAATGAATACAAAACACCTTGAGAAACACTGCTCAGTGTTTTTAACCTTGCTGAAACCAAAACTTACAACTTTATGTCATCAGAAAGTCACATTATGTAGGTAAAGAAGGAAAAGCATTATATTTTGAAAGTCACAAGCCAAAATCAAAGAGGAAATGACTCCCAAACTTCCTTTAATGGAAGCCCTGGATACTGCTTCATAAAGGTAAGAAAAAATGGAAAATTTTCTTAAGAAAATTATTTATCGGAATATGAAACAAGACAAACCTTTACTGCCTTCCACCTTGTATTTTGTAGACACAGCAGTCACGGCTGTATGTTGTACAGCTGCTTTAAATGCGTACACGGCTTCATGAATCAAAGCAGGTGATGGCTTCTCCTGTATAGTTATATAAAATTACTTGTATGAAACATCAAATAACTTGACTTTAACATTAACCCTAATACTGCAGAAAAATTTTCCAGTTTTATTGGTTAAAAATTAAGATTACAATTGCATTTTTTTTTCTTTGAAACATGAACTCATAAGAATCTGGGCCAACTGGTAGGTAATTAGAAATTTATTATACGCAATAATATATATAATATATATTAATATTTTATATATAATAAAAGCTTAAATCAATGACTGCCCTGGTCGTCAAAACAAAACTGGTACAAGCAAAGGTTTCTTTATACAAACAAGAGGGCCATGATGGCCCTGAAATCACTCACCTGTATATAGGCCCCTGGGCCAAGGCTAATTTTAAACCAGGGGCTTTTATTTGAACAAACTTGGTAGACACCCATTAGAAGATGTTTCATGATAAATATCTAACCTCTAGCTCTTTCAGGTTTTTATTTAGAGATTTTTTAAGTTTTTACTATATAAACAATAACCCCCCCCCCCTCAGAGGGGCCAATTTTTATCCCAGGGCTTTAATTTGAACAAACTTGGTTACTCACTAGAAGATATTTCATGCTTAGTATCTAAAATCTAGCTCTTTGGGTTTTTTATAAGATTTTTTAAGTTTTAACTATACACATATAAGGAAAATCAATGACCACAGGCAGGGCCAATTTTAACCCAAGGGCCCTTATTTGAACAAACTTGGTAGACACCAATTAGAAGATGTTTCATGCTTAATATCTTAGCTCTAGCTCTTTGGAGTTTTTAAAAGAAGATTTTTTAAGTTTAAACTTTATACATAAAGGGAAAAACAATGACCCCCGGGGCGGGGCCAATTTTTACCCCAGGACTTTTATTTGAACAAACTTGGAAGACACCAACAAGAAGATGTTTTATGCTTAATATCTAATCTCTAGTATTTTGGTTTTTTAAAAGAAGATTTTTAAGTTTTTACTATATACAAATTGAAATAAGGTAAATCAATGACCCCCTGGGGGTTGGGCCAATTTTTACCCCCGGCTTTTATTTGAACAAACTTGGTAGACACCCACTAGAGGATGTTTCATGCTTAATATCTAAGCTCTAGCTATTTGGCTTTTTTTAAAGATGATTTTTATAAGTTTTTACTATAAACAAATAAGGAAAATCAATGACCCCTCCCCAGGCGGGGCCAATTTTGACCCGAGGGCATTTCTTTGAACAAACTTGGTAGACACTGGCTAGATGATGTTTAATGCTTAATATTTAAGCTCTACCTCTTTCCCTTTTCTTAAAGAAGATATTTTAAGTTTTTTCTTTCAGTTGCCATGGCAACCAGAGTTCTGCTTGAAAATAAAATCTTTGAACAATTTTTAAAGTTGACTACCAAAGGAACATTCCTGTGAAGTTTGGATGAAATTGGCTTAACGGTTTATGAGGAGATGTTGTTTAAAGACGGACGCCAGACGAAAAGTGATCACAAAAGCAGACTAAAAACAGATGATGAAACGTTTAATTACCAATTTAGATGAATACATTTATGCAAGAATAGCAATGAGAACTCAGACTTTAAATGTGTCTTTGTGCTTCTGCAGATGTTAATGCATGAAAAAAGTTCAATACTTTGAGTAACCTTAATTATTCTGTTTATCTTATTTGTTTGTTTGATTGGATTTTATGTCGCACCAACACAGTTTAGGTCATATGGCAACGTTCCAGCTTTACTAGTGGAGGAAGACCCTCAGATGTGCTTCTGTACATTATTTCAGGCATGCACGGGCAACTGAGTAGAACCACCACCGTTCCGTAAGCTAGCTGGATAGCTTCTTCACCTGAAAGAATCCCATGACAGGATCCAAACCCACAGCTGTGGGCAATAATAATGTTGTCTACATAGTTTTTAGAAATTGTACTTCTTGTAAGATTAAAAGTGCATTTTTATAAAGAAAGACAAAGTAAAACAAGTTTAGGTTTCATTGATAAAAATACAGTATTAACATAAATGTAACATTATATAAACAAAGGATAAAACCTTGAATCTCTGAGTCCACTCCTTTATCATTGCCATGGTAACTGGTATTTTTCCTCCTGATTGCTTAGCTGTCTTCTCGGCTGGTTCATCATCTTCTTCTTCCTCGTCATTACTATCACTCATCACCTAGACAACAAAGATATAACAGAATGTCTAATCATATTGAGGAAAGTATTTTATCAAACCAAAGGTGATATGCCCTCGCCACCAGTATAGAGCCAGGTTTTCCTGTAGATATGTGCAGTCTGAACAGGTTCTATACTGTTAGTCGACCTACTTTAAATTTTCATCTTGATATCCCCATAACTTATAATGGACAGTTCCAAAACTAAAGGAAGATCAAGTCCATCTAGTAAATTCAGCAGGTTAAAGTTTTAGGAAAAACAATATTGTGGGGGAACAATAAACTTGCTTTTAGAGAATTACAAGCTTTTTTCTTGGTAAATTACATCCCAGCTCCATTTTGAAAATATCATATAATACATGTATATGCTTGAGCTTGATTATGAAATAAACTTGCTTGCTTGTGAAGAAGCATAAAACGTATTGTGAAGCATTTTAAGCCTTATTTTGTTATCAGATTACTCAGACGGAATTTGAAGAATAAGAATACTAGCATTCAGAATTATAAGCTTAATTCATGCAATAGCAATTTACAACATTACATTTGAATAACTGGAAGTGGTGCATAAGTCATCTCAATTCTTCATTAAATCGTCAATGGCAATGCTTAGTTCCAGATAAATGGAAGGACTAAATGAAATTATTCATACAATTTCATCTATTGAAAGTGAAATGTAAAACAAAATATAACTCAGGATTTTCATTTTTATCAGAGGCAACAGATGTGCCAACAAAAGCAACTGACTTGGCCAAGGGAGATCTTTAAATCTACACCGCATTTCAACCGATGACATGGCTTGCCACTGTTAATAATGAATATCCTGTAATTATCCTCACCTCTAATTCAGCCGGTGGTTTATGTACACCTTCATCATCAGAACTGTCAGATGCATCCATATCAAATTCTTCTCCAATATCATCAACATCCTCATCATCATAATCATCATCATTATCATCACTACTACTCTCTTCTAATTCTTCTTTCTTTTTCAAAACTTTGCTTGACTTTTTGACATTTTCTTTACCATTTAACTTTTCATTTTCAATTTGTTTTTGGTCCTTTTTAGCTTTAACTTTCTTTTCAGGTTCCTTTCCAATGTTAGATTTCTTTCCACTTTTATCTTTAAGATCAGTCATTTTGCTATCATCATCGTCCGGAAAGTTTTTCACATGCTTTTGTTTTTGCTTTGACATAGCTAAATCGGCTGCTTTCTTTTTCAGTTCTTCAATTTCTTTCTTATTTTTCTGTTCAAGAAATTTGGTTATATTTGTCGAGCAGATTTCTTCATCGGATGACATAGGGAAATCATCCTCATCTTCATCATCACTGTCATCATCATTGTTAATGACTGGTTCATCAGATTTGCTAGTATCATCATCATCGCTGGTGTCGGACACATCAGATCCTGACATATCTCCTATAATAGGAAAACATATTTTACCATTCTATGACATGCAGAAATGTTTCTTTAAAGATAACATCATACATGTAACAGCTTACCTGATAAATATATTTACAATGTTTTTTGATCATAGTGTTAATTCTAGTTTTTTACACATTCATTAAAACTAAATCATCCAGTTATTAACATTATTTTTCTGCTTTTGGTGGGTCTGCTAAACTGACATGTTCCTAATAGCAAAAATCTATTTTTCCCCAAAATGCTTTTAATTCTTTTCCCAATTTACACAAATCAAAACATTAAATTAAAAAAATCTCTATGTACTTGTACAACAAAGGCGTAAAGCAGAAGGCACTCAAACACATGATGG